GTTAATTATGATTAAGTCATGATGTGATATTGGAGTATGCCTTTTATTAGGCCTTATAGGGTGGTATGATATTGAATTGAAATGTCTTAATTTTGATGGTTAGGTGTTGGCTTAAGATGTAAATGTTATAAAGAGGTTTAATGATTTACCAATTTGTCGTATCATGATATGAAATGCATATGTGTCAACCTCACCTATATGAATTATAACGAAAGGACTTATACTCATGCAATTCTTATTGAGATATGATGATGATGATGCTATACAAGGGTTATACACTATGACCTAAACTTAGCTATGATTGATAATTAAAGGCTTAAAGTTATTTCAAAAAGGGACACTAGCCTAGCACCGAGTAAACTAGAGTGACGAGTGTCCCTTCGCACACAGGGAAGGTAGAATCACTAAAGTACTTTTGAGATTGGAGACTACAATGCATGTAGCATAAAGAGGGTCCCAACTATATCCCGTAGTTCTTTAACTTTGTTGCCCCATAGGAATACTAGGTAGTGTATCCACATAGTTGATATGTTCTTGTTTTGGTACTACCTTGGCAAGTAGCCCGCCTTCCTTCGGTGTAGGATTTTATCACACAGGATTCCACATTAGCTCAAGTGGTATATGTCGCTTAGGAAAAGATGTTCCCAAAAGGTATAATGAATTAAAGAAATGAACTCTAACTACGAAAAACTAATAGGTCTAAGCTTGATCTAGTAAGGGTATGGGACTCTACCTAAGCATTGCACTAGTTAGCCTTGAGGGGAGTCTTAGGAGGATTTTGTTATGTATGAAAATGCTTATAATGATATAAGATATGTATGTTATAACTTGCACATTGTTGCTACTATATGTATACTAGTTCACTTATGAATATGTGTTTGTTTATAGGGTTAAAGTAAGATGATATGTATATCTAAATGTCATGTTATGTTAAGTAGGATGTTAGTCAGGATTCTTGTTCGGTTACTTGAATGAGTAAGGTTATGGGGATTCGATTGGTCATTGTACTTGTTGACTTGATATGGGTTCGTGGGAAATTATTTAGTTTTGTTTATAATGAAATGTACTCTTATTAATGCTTATTTTTAATATGACTTGATGATAGAGTTACTTGGGTATGTATCTACTTTTATGGTATGAATGGTTGACTTGACTAAAATTTATTTTATAGTTATTGTGATCAACATGTCTGTGACTTAATGAATATGCAATCTTGATTGGTATGGTCTTGTTGAATGTGCATAAGGGTTTTAAAATGAAAAATGCATACTCTATGAAATGGCCCTTTTTCTTAGCATGTTTTTCAAGTATGTGTGCATATTGTCTCATACTTAGTACAAGTGGCGTACTAACCTCATTTCATCCTTTTTCCCAGCATTTTAGATTCCGGTCGTTTAAGTTCTTTTGAAGGCGACTAGAAAAAGACATGGATCCTTTGATCATCCAAGTAGGATAGGTCATCATTTTTCGAGGGTGATACCAATATCAAGCTTATGTTGTTATTTTAGTTTTAAGACTCTTATATTCTATTTCCTTTCATTTGAGTACGGATTATATAAAGCCTATATGTTGCTCTCTTTACATTGATGTGTAGGCTATGCCCAAATTGCTAATTGTGCTAGATGGTTATGAGATGAGACAATCTTTGAAGATTATGTTATATCTTATATATTTATGTGCAATAAAAGTACAAGTCTATGTAACCTTACTATACAAAGGGTCTATGTATACTCGATATATATATGTTATGTGTATGTATAGGTCTATGTAAACCTCCAAGTAGAAATAATGAAAAGTTTTAAATTTTTGCTAAATTTGACCTATGAATGTAATGATGTTAACTTAGAGACTAGTCTTATTCCTCGAAGAGGACGACGATGCTGGTTACGTCTAGGGGGTAAACCCGGATGTGACAGGCTACAAGTACGAACGGGTGACATATCCATACTTTTACTGTGCCAGAGATTTTCGCAACAATTTGTGGTGGACATATACATAAAAATAGAAAGAACAAGACTAGAATATTATAGATTCGAGCAATCAAATAATTGAAGGGAGATACTCCATGGTATTGTTGATAGTGTTAGCGTCGATAAGTGTAGAGGAGACAAGGTAGAAAAAAGGGTATTACTACCACGATAATTCATTGGAGGACCTAGCGATATGAGATTCCGATATATGGATGCAATGGCTTCGGTACAAGAGTTTGGAAGACAAAATCTATTCATCACAATGACATGTAACCCAGATTGGGTGGAGATTCAAGAACGATTGCTTCCAGGACAACTATTTAAGACATACCAAATTTGGTAACCAGAGTGTTTTGAGAAAACTCGCAAGACTTGAAAGATCAAATTTTAAGGAAAGAAATATATGGACCTATCGCCGCACATGTTTTGGTTGTAGAATTCTAGAAGAGAGACTTACCGCATATACATTTACTTCTAACATTTAAAGAAGGAAACACGATGCAATCACCAGATGAGTATGATAGATACATTAGTGTAGAAATCCCTAATGAAGACACACATCCAGAATTTAGCGCATTCGTTATCAAGCATATTATACATGGACCTTGCGGGGAGAAACATAGGGCGAGCCCATGTATGAAAAAAGGGACAGTGTAAATTCCATTACCCAAGAACATTCACCAATAAAACAATAAAAGAAAACCATAGATATCCAATTTACAAAAGAAGAAATGATAGGAGAACAAGTGAGGTACGTGAATTGAGGATGAAATACCAATGGGTTGTGCCTTATATTCCGTATTTGTTGATGAGATATAATTGCCACATTAATGTTGAAGTATACTCAGGACTTAAATCAATAAAATTACTATACAAATATATATATATATATATATATATATATACATATATATATATATCTGTGTGTGTGTGTGTGTGCGCGTGCGTGCGTGTGTTTGTGTGTGTGTGTGTGTGTGTATATATATATATATATATATATATATCCTACTACAACCAACTCGATATTAGAGCAGATAAATGATGCTTGGAACTGCATCCTGAAAACATATGAGAGTGTAGTATTAGTACCAAAAAAACCTATATCTAGTAGGCATCATAGAACGATTGAGCTTGAAATGTAAAGACAATATGAAAATCAAGAAGTAACTCTATAGAGATCAACTGAACGTAAATCTAACAACACTACACATAATTCTAGGAACGAGTGGAAGAGAACAACAAGAAACTAGCTATAACCTAAATAGACATCAATAAGTCAAGAAGGTACATTTATGCACCAAGTTTAAGAAAAATTACCCGAATGGACCACCAAAAGGTTGATAAGTACAAAAAAGAGTTATAACTAAAGAGTATGAAATTTGGGTAATCAAGAACACAAGATGCACATCCCAACCTTAAATCAAGGATAAAACAACCAAGGAATCAAATAGAACCATGCCATAAGGAATCAACTCAATAGAGGATAATATGCTTAAAACTCAGATTGTGGTTGTAGATTGTGTGCACGCCTTGAAATCTACGACTATAGGAGTTGTATGCCAAAACCTTAATCTACGACTATATGAACTATTGAGGGAGAGTACCATTTCAAATCACCATCATAATTCCATTGTGGATCGACATCCAGCCGAAACTTGTAAGCTCATGCAACTCTAAACATGAACCAAATCCAATTTTCATCATTGAAAGAAGCCCAAAATCTCAACAAAGAATATTTTGTCCATAGTAAAAAGGGAATTATGGATGACATATTATCTGAGTTCAGTTACCTCCTATCTAAGGCCACTAAAACAAAAGATGTTTTTAGTGGCAATATATTGCAACTAATACATTACCTAAACTACACTATTCCCAGCATTTAAACTTAACCAAATAAAGGAAATACTTTTCAGTGACAGTCAAAAATATATAGCGATAGAATTATAGCCAATTTGTATTTTTTTTACTTTCCCTCAAATTCTTTTTTGCTTCAAATTTTCCCCATGTCGGCCCTTCAATGAAATTCCAATGGCCGGCGAAGGAAATTGGCACGACAACAATGGAAATTGGCACAACTATTGTGGAGTTCGTCACAACATTAGTGGAGTTTGATACAATGGTGGTGTAGTTCAGGATATCGGCCTTGGAATTTAGAACATCGGTTCTATTGATGATAAAAAATATGAATTAAAGCCACCGACATCTCTATACGAGATCATCGCCAGCTATTCGTATAAGTACATTCATCATCTTCGATTGCCTCATATTCGATCGGATTGAATTCGAACTTCTATGTGGTTTGGTAACTATTAATATCCATTTTATTTATCTATTAGGCCATGTATGGACGTATGTTTTAGAGTTCTATATTTAATATTATTTGAATCGATGCATTTGTTCTATATCACATAGCTTGATCTTATGTCCAATATAGTTGGTGTAGAATTGTTTATAGAAACCAAACTAACTGTGGTGGAGCTCAATTTTTTATCTCCTGTTTGAAATAAACAACTAAACTTAGCATTTAATTGAAACCTTATTTGTTAATACAAAATTCAAATTTTCGCGCTTATACATTTTCATGCCTTGAACTTATGACTTTGCGCACTTACGCAAATTTTGTATTCAAGTTCCTGATGTACCTACCTCTTTTAACTCCTTTCCTTCTAGCAATTCAATGAACAATAGCATAGGCAATGTTCTTCTCCAACTCATTCGCAATGTTTAGTCCAATGTAACGGGCACCAAGTTAAGCGTTGTTGAATACTTGGTTTGTTAATTGACAGTTCCTAACTTTGATTAATTAATTCATACTCCTTTTTTCTCTGCACTTTGCTTTACATAAGGACTGAGTATCACTTTGCTTGTATTCTTATAGATTATGTAACTACTGATGTTACTTTATGTTGAGGAATTAACAACTTGTGTAGTTGTGCCTTAGCTTAATTCTGTTACAAGTTAGTTAGGCTAGAGTTATTGATAATTAGGTTTTCTGAGTCAGTTTATTAATTAATTCATAAGGTTGGTGTTTTAAAACTCTAGGGCTGAGTTTTTGCTTACACCCTCTTCCTTGACAATGAATGGTGTTGTCTCTAAGTAGAACTTCTTGGCGTTGTATTTACCTAGCTTGAAGGCAAAGTTATTAACACCTCCATCTATGGTAGGGCACTGGTTGGCAGTTACAGTTCCCTTTACTTCCATGTATGTCTTTGTCTGAATCTCGTCTAAGGTTAGACGTTTTGGAACTCTTTCAGCATTAGCTCCCTACACCTTTAGAAATTTTCTCTAAGACACAGGACATCCAATATCAAATGAAAAAGGGAGAAAACGCATAAAACAGTTGATCACTAACAGACATGAACTATAGATGACAAGATAAACATTCCAAAAATGAGCAGTTTTAAGTTACTCTATGAACCATCCAAGACATCACAGTTTCTTTGAGCCAGATATAGAATTTTTTTCTACGATTTTAACTTCCTAGTTACTAGGAGATAATGTAATATCATAATGATTATAAAACATGGTTTATATTCTTACTAATGTGTCCTATTTAAGAGTTTAAACTTTTAAACGATATGATAGCACAATTTAACAATCCAAAAACATTATTAACTTACTGAGACAACAAGGGAAGAAGTGGCAAGGGAAAATCCAGCAATCATGGAAGTGTCAATACATTTATGAGAAAAATCTTTAAGATCAGCTTCCAAAGAGAAAGAAAGCCTAGATGTAGCTGTTGTTTCTGGCAGAGACACCACCAATCTTAGTTGGTTGCATAAGAGTAGCAGCTGCTTGTAGAGAGGCTGCCATTTTGTCTTGTTTCTCTGATAAGTTTTCTGCTGCTCTTTGTTTTTGTTTATTAGAAACTAACAAGTGTGACAGTTGAACACATCATTCTTGGGAGAATGTCTGCAGTTCTATGCACTTTAAGAAGTACAACGGATAAAAAAATAGTTGGAATGGAGTGTCACATCATCAGGGTACGTAAGGTTTCTTGATCAGAGTCTTAGAAATGATCTGTTATCTTATGATGTTTCGGGAACTTTACATTAATCATTTTTTTTTGGTTCATGTTTTTAAGGAGCAAGTTGAGAGACTAAAAGAAAAGGTAAGACCACACTAAATGATATATTTTGAGCTTCAATTCACACAAAGGTAAGAAACATAACAATTTATATGTAGGATTTACATTGTTGAATGTGAATGTCTCTATCGAAAAATTGCCAACTGTTTTACCACCTGTTTGCTTAAGTCTTCCCTTTCTTACAAATCTAGGAGAAATCCCGGCTGTTGAAAATGCAAAATTGAGGGAGAAGGTATATTTTTCATTTTGTTACATCAACCTTAGGATAGTCTTCTTCTTGTTTTTTTTTAACTCTTCAACTCTAATTCATATATAGTCGGTCAAAAAATTAACTTATTTGGTGCCTATGTTTATAGTCTGGTGGCATTTAATAGAGAAAAGCACTAAGTGGAGAGAAGGAAGGAGAAGCTCCTTGTACAGGTGGTAGAGAGAATGATGTTGAGACTGAATTGTTTATGGGACCACTGGAGTGCAGAGTAACACGTTTCTAAAAGAATTGATCCACCAATAGTTGAGGCAAGCATGAGCTAAAACCATATAACAGGAAAGTGTATCGTGGAGTTGTGAAGTAGGAAGAATTACGTATTCTTGTTGCCTGCTAGCTAGGCAAGACAACAAGTCCTTAATCACAAAAGGAAGAATAAAATCCTCCCGATATTATACATGATGATGATCCTATATAATACTTTCACTATCTCAATTTTCTTGCTTTTTCATTATTGAATGCATTATTTTTCATTGTTCAACACATAAGTTTACTCAATTCTATACAATTGGATTTGGTAATTCTTGTATCAATATTTGTGTATTGATTTATCTGGTTTTACATATGAATTAAGGTTAATTGATGGTCAATTATAATCTTCATAATAATTTCCACTAAAATAAGTTTCACTTATCGCCAGTTATAATTTATAAATGTGGCAGCTTTACTGGCAATAGTTATTGCCACTAAAAGTAAAGGCCTTTAGCAACAATATTGTAGGTCTTTACTGGCACTTTAATTTAATGTCGCTAAAGGCTTCAGCGACACTGGATGCAATGGCAACAAATTAAATTTTGCTAAAAAAAATTTGCGGCAATAAGTATTGCCACTAAAAGAAAAATTAAATGCCACTAAAAGTATCTTTTGTTATAGTGGGCTCATACTAATGGATCCAAGTCTTCTACACCATTCCGTAGGCAGTTAAGCCGTCTAAATCAACGTCAGAGAATTCTAAGACGTGTCGACTTCTAAAAATGTGAGTATGATGAAACCTAGCTTTATCTAGGATAAGGACAATAACAAGCTTCTAAATATCATACATGAACACGAACAAATACCACACGGTAAGGCATACTCATGAAGAGAGAATAAGATGTTACTATTCATGAAACACCTAAAAATAAAGCATAAGATATGATTTCTACCTTGTATACATTACCTACCTCAGTGCAATCCGTGCACACTCTAAAGTAATTCCAAAGCTTTCCCCATCCAAACAGCCTCCGATCACAGCCGTGTAGTTAAAACACAATCACAATGTCAATACAAGCTTTTGACATCAAAAATAGAACAATCAAAGATGAACCTAAATTCGAGTCCAAATAGGATTGTGGGACCCACACTAAGAATCCCAAAATTTTGATTCTTTCAAAAAATCTCAATTGAGTTAGAGCATTACTGTCCCAAAATGGGACACAATTTAATGCTCAGAAAGCCAGACTCAACAACATATAATACAATCACAATAATACACCAAATAAAAAAAAAGATATTAGACATTTGAGATAGGTTTACCTCAAATTGATGCTCACTGTACCACCCCAAACACTCCAATATGCAGCCACACACTAACCAGAGAATATGAAAAAAATATATAAAAAAAATAGAGGTATTAAACTCTGGAAATCTTTTTTTGAACTTAAGGTTCAACTATTGATTGCGAATAGTCTTTATTTGAAAGATTGGTAAAACTAATCTTCATTATTCCTAAAACTATAGGCGCTATCGTGACCCCACCCAGGAAAGACATACGTGATTGTAGAGGTCGAACCTCACAATCGCAATGACCAAAAGTAATCGACACTATAACAGAGACAAACTTCAATAGCGGTAAGGAGGCCACGCAATCACAATGGCTAACTTTAGGTGCCTCCATGATTGTGGAGGTTCCCTTACGATTGTCGTGATCTGCTGATGTATCATCAAAATCAAAAAGTTCTCAAAATCCCCTACAAGGTGCTCGAAATTCATTCAAACCCCCGTTCATATAAATGAGATATGTTACTCCATAAAATTTGGCATCCCTGAAATCAATAGATATACCAAAACTTCCAACAAAGGTCATTACGGTGAAAAATAACCCACACCCAAACTCCATTCATAGCCAAACAAGAAGGGAAAATTCTGTCACGTCTTAGGCTCAGTCTCCTAGGTAACTTCATCTATAAGACGATGTATCTACCAGACCTTTACAATAGAAATGTTTTTCGAACACAACCCACACATATCTATATAGAATAGCAACTAGTATATGAAGGTCAAACAGTCATCCAACTTAATGGAATAATACCAGATCACATAAGAATCATGAGGAACATATCGATGAATCATATAAACTCGGAACATCGGGTGAATAGCTGAAAATGTAGAATGTTCGGTCAACTAGTTGGTGACATAACAAAAATTCTATGACATGTCTAATGGACCTATATATCTGAGATTAATCTTGCACTACCTTTCGGACAACATCACGCTCTTCATGTGCCGCACCCGAAGAAACACCCATCACCAACCTCGAATATCAAAGATTGGTGCCTATGGTTAGCATAATTCTTATGCCTTCTCTTAAATGACCTAAGTCTATACTTAATCACCCATACTCGGTCTTAGACCTCCTGAAGCAAATTTATACAACATAACCTAGATTTCAAAGATCCAAACCAACCAATTTCAGAGCGATAGTGTCTACCATACAGGGCCTCGAATGAGGCCATCTGAATACTTGAGTCCTAGTTATTATCGTACAAAAACTCTGATAAAGCCAAAAAGATGTTCCATTTACCTCAAATTTCAAAAATACAGGCCTGAAATATATCCTCCAAAACCTATACCATGCCTTGCATTGAATTTCATTGACTAACTTTAGGGGTGCCATAATTTTTTCTAATATTTAATTTAGGTATTGTTACCATAAACCATGGATTAGGGTGACATACATCTCCAAGACCACATTTATGACTTATTACGACCATTATGAGTTTCTAATGATGTCTTTTGGGTTGACTAATGCTCCAATGATATTTATGGACTTGCTTTTATTTATGTCCTATAAACATACTGCTTGAATTATATTTGGTTGTAACATTTTAACATCCCAAAAATCTTTAATTAAGCCTATATCAAATCTTGAAAAGCTTATAAAATTAATTTGTCGCCATGGGTTATTTGGTATTGAATTTGGGCCTGGGTTGGACTTTTGAGGTTGAGGTTTGTTTTGGCTAGGTGTGAGTGTAACGACCTTTTCCAAATTTTATGGGTAGACAAATGTTGAAAGATTTGGCTCAAAAACTTCATGGTAGTGACTTGAAATATTTAGGCTAGGCTATTCTCCTAAGAAATCTGAGCAGAGTTAGATCATGAATTCTCTCTCGCCGCAACTTATCAAAGGTGCGCCTTCCATGGGAAAGAGAGTAAGTATGCCATCCGTGAAAGCACAGCAAGCTCTAGAGTCTGTTAAGAGAATGGGGCAACAAAAGAAGAAAGGCACACAGAGTGGAGAAATAGATGGAGGCGTCCAATCCTCTACCAATTTAAGGAAACTATAACAGGAATCACCTGTATTAGAAGGAATTCAACTACTGGATCGAGTGAATATGGAGATATAAAAGGTGATAATGAGTGAATCAACATTAAATGGACCCGAGTCAACAAGAACAAGAGGGAACAAAACGTGAACTATATTGGACGTTATCAATGAAACAGTAATAATGAGATGAAGTTGCAGTGCAAGGAATCTTTCATGGGCTGAGGATGCTGACGCCGAGATAAAGACTCAAGGGTCCGTCTGGGAAAATTTCGATATCGAAAAAATGACGAATGTAGGGTTTAAGGTTGGTTTTGTTGAGCCTAAAATGCATGGGAATGAACCAATGTATGAAATTGAACTCGAGGACATCTCATCAGATATTGCATACTAGAAGAACTCAGTTGTGTGCTATATCTTAGGAGCTCACCCTCCCAATGAAGTACTAAAATGATTCATATGACTATGGTTGAAGCATGGTATTTATAAAGTTTTCATGTTGATGAATGGGATTGTAATAGTGAGGTTTGATTCTTCTATTAGAAAAAATGACGTGTTGCATGGGGGGTATCTACAATTTTGATAGTAAGCCTTTCATTGTAAAGGCATGGACACCAGAAATGGAATTCAGTAGACAGGAACTATATACAGTTTCCATTTGGGTGAACTTTCCTTGCTTAGATTTTAAATTCTGGAGTGCGAAGGGGCTGAGCAAAATAGGAAGCTTAGTAGGATGGCGTTGATGGTTGATCATAATATAGAGAAGAACATGGATCTAAAATTTGCAAGATTTCTTATCGAGGTAGGGATGGATACTATACTACAAAGAGAAGATGGGTTTTATGAATGAAAGAGGTAATATAATTGAACAAAAGGTTCAGTATCAATGGAGACCAATTTTATGCAAATTCTTCCAGAAAACATGGACATGGGGAAAAGGAGTTTAGGAAGAAGAAAAGTATACCGAAGACCATTAATTCACAGTGAGGAAAGGAAGGTACAGAAGGAACAGGGACAACAAATATGAGGGAAGGAATACAAGGTTCTTCTGGAAGGAAAGGGGGGCCTAGTCAAAGAATTTCTCAAAGACTTGTTAAATGGATATCGAAATAAGGAACAAAAGAAAATGAAACTATTTCGGTGACACAAATGTAGACTGCAAGGGTACAATACAAAGAAAGAACAGAAGGGCAGAAAACAGGGAATGGTTTCCAGACACTTGATAGAGGGGGAAAACATGGGATGGGTTCACAAAATAAAGAATGGTGTAGAGTGGAATAGATCCACCAAATGGATAGTTTTCTAATTTGGAATATAAGAGGCCTCAACGGACTGAATAAGCAAAAGGAGGTGCAACAAAATAAACGTAGGAATAGTGGGTATGGTGGAGACAAAAATACAGACGGGAAGAATTGAAAGAGTGGAAAAGTATGTCCCCTGTATGGGATTATACTACCAAACCTGGAGCCAACACTTAAATTGAAGGATTTGGGATAACGTGGAGACCATATTATTTTCAAACTATTGTTGTGAGTATGATGGACCAAGTTGTGACGTGTGATATTCTAAATATTTTTGAACAAATAAGGTTCTATCTTATTGTTATATACGGGCACATTAGTAAGGTGGGTAGGAAAGGATTTAGAAAGGAGGGTAGGAAAGGGATGTGGAATTATCTATCAGTGACAAATCAAGGACATACACCTTGGTTGATTGCTGGAGATTTCAATTCATTACTAAACTCGAATGACAGATTGGAGGGAATCTGATTACTACGGGGGAAATAGAGGACTTCAAATAATGTGTGGTGAAGGGTGGGTTGATTGAACTACCATACTGTGGAAATAGATTCAGATGGAGTGATAAGTAGGGAGGCAATAGAATTTGGTCTAACATAGATTGGGCATTGCAAAACAGTAAGTGTCTACAAAACATGCATAATTATTCAGTCAATTTCTTGCCAGAGGGAGTGAGTGATCATAGTCCTATCCATGTTGTATTGAAATCAAATATGACACTAAAGAGGAAAGCTTTTAAGTATTGTAATACGATGTCTAAGCATCCAGAATTTTCACGTACTTTAGAGGAGGCTTGGAGCCAACGTAGATTAGGGTGCACAATATTCCAATTAAGGAAACTTAAAGAGTTTAAAAAAAAATTGGTGGGAATGAATAAACAACGTTTCAGGAATATAATTCATGAAGCAAATGAGGATAGACAACCCTTAGTAAGAATCCAACAAGCTCTCCAATGTCTGCCAAGTTATAATAGAATAAACAAGGAGGAAAAAGAGAAATGTGAAAAAAATATCTTCGTACATCGTTGTCACGACCCAATTTCTCGAGTCATGATGGCACCTACTATAACCCACTAGTAGGTAAGCCGACCCATAACCCGGAACAACATGTAATGGGTCTGCGGGTAGAAACTAAACAAGAGTAGGAAAAATTACTATAACAACAAAAACAAACCAATACATAAATACAAATAAGGATCCCTCCTACAACCTGGAAACCACTAGTATAGAGATACCAAAAAAACGAGTACAAGTTCCAAGAGTGGACCACCGAAACTAGACTGTCTTGAAAAGTAAAAGACAAGTCTATATATATACAGATGGAGACTGAAATAGTACAAAATGCCATGTGCTCACCCAAATCTCCAGACCCGACTGCTCCAAACTCAATCAATGCTAGCTACTGGTGCTCAGAACTGCATCACAAAAATAGATGCAGAGCATAGCATGGATACCAAGTAGGCATCATAGGCCGACTGAACCTGAAAAGTAAAGCAATATAAAAAGACAGAATTACAAAACTAGATGTCAATAACTGTAGACTAAGTAACAAAGGAATGCACACGAGTGTAGAAAAAATTAACTATATTAATATATAAGCTAACTACACCAAAATAGACCCCCAAAAGCCTAGAGGTACACTCGCGTGCAAGTTTAAATAAAAACCCAAACGGACCCCCATAAACCTGACAAGTACAAAGAATAACTATAACTAAGGATGATAGAACTCAAGGCCAAAGAAAATCAAACCAGATGCTCCAAACCAAATAATAGAATTTGATGGCACAGAGATCTGGCCTCGAACCGGACGTTCTCCTGAATTACACAACTAGACAATCACAATTATAAGTAACTGAGACAAGACCTCTAATCGGATGCTCTACATACTTGAGGTCGAACCTCTAACCGGATGATCTACTTCACTATTTGGATGGTCAAGGCCGGACCTTAAATCTGGATATCCGACAAAGATGTCGATTTAGCTACTGAAAGAGTCTCTATCTATCTAGAATCATAAATACCCGTGGAACACCATCCACACTTATCTAATAAATGTAAGTCCTTGAAGCCGAATCAAAAATCAACTTTGAATAGCGGATAGGAAGTCATATTCACCGACGTAACTCGTGAAGCCGTACCATCAAAAGAGATAAGGATAGATATCATCGGAGCGATATCATCATCTAGATAAGGACCAAACTATCAGGATCATGTCTTCTACACCAGTCTATAAGGATTTAAGTCGGTCGAGCGATGTCACGACTAAACTAAGTCCTACCAACTTTGAATAATGCATTTCTAAAGCAATCCCTAGTCAAACCTAAACTAAGGCCCAACATACTTCCGATAACTAGTATTCAAACATACAAGTACTCCAAATAGCAATGAAGGACAATTAATAACACAAAACATTCTCCTAGTTACCCGATATTTCTCTGAAAATGGCCGAAAATATGATTTCTAACACCTATCTATAATTCAATAACTACCCTATCCAAATTCCAACTAATCAACATGCATTCACATGTTAGAGTTCAATCTAAGAAAGGAAATTGTAGTCTACCTATACGCAGATCATGTGCGCTCCAAAAATCACTTCTCCGGAGCTTTCCCTTTTCGAATGTCCTCAAAACATTGATACACTATCAAAAATGGAGTCACAATGTTATTAAGATCATTTAAACAC